AGGGAATAGTTGTTTGAAAAACCCCTCCTCAATGATCTAACCACAAAGCTTGTAATTCTTTAGATGTTTCAACTATCGTTGTAGTCATTATCCGTTTTTATCTCCTAGAATGTAAACCACTGTCCTAACATTTGAAATATCATAAATTGACTTGATCCTTGTTATTTTTACTTAGTTCCTGTTTAATCTTCAATTTGAATGCTTCTCTATATGTGATTGTGTGAAAATATTGACCGCGATTGTATTTGGATGACGTCAGGGTCATTCTGATCATGGATTATCTGCTGGTAATGTTTGGTGTGTGATTCTATTTGACAGAGCGAGGTTTCTATCTCAAACATTGATGGGATTATTCTACTTGATTCCCAGGTGTTTCTTACTGTTAGATTTTGGCTATCTAATTTTGTTCTACAGTACTTGTCTTGTGCTTGGAACGTCTTCTTGACTGTATAGCTGCCTAATGCCCCTGTTGAGGTAATTTTGAGATTTTAACATTATTATTATTGTTGTTGTATAGAACCACACAGATGTGTCGATGAATATCCGTGTGCTTGCTATCTTTGAAGCGCTCTGTGACTGTTCACTTGTCAAGAAGGTTTCGAACCTGTAATACAGCATAGCTCCACGTTCAGACCAAAATGAGTAGTTTTCGGTCATTACGAATGTATTGAGCATACTAAAGCGTACCTTCCTAAATAGAAGAAAAGCTGCGAATTTCCCCGGGGACATAACTATCTACTCCTGAAAGAATTTCAATTGGTTGTTGGTTCTATCGATTCACATGAATCATAGAAAAGAAAAGAAAGTCAGGTGGGCTGTATAATCTTGCTGAAAAGAGATCGTAATTTTCCCAATACACACAATCTTGTTTTTAGGTTTCTTTTTTCATTTACTCATAAAAGAAGATAGAAACTAATTTCATTAAGTGATTTGTTTAAAACAATGAATATTAAAATAATCCAGCTGAAAGGAAATTAATCCCAACTTGTAATTATGAAAATGAGAAAGATTATTTCCTTTTAAGTGAGAATAATAATGAAGAAAACAATTCAGAGAAAACTCAGCAAATTATTAATAAATCATTCTGTGGATTTATGAAGTACCGTTGAACATATATATTCAGTTCTTCAAGAAGTGTGACTTCAGTTCCATCTGTTTAAAAACAATAAGTATGTGTCACATGTTTGCGTAAAACAGTTCAACTCAGGCTACGTATAACTTAATCGCTTCAAACTGAAGTGTTGTGCGATGAATATATCAGCATAGTCATTATGAAAATATCAGCTTAAAGCTTATCAGTGATTTGTATAGAGAAGGCAAGGTCACAAAGAAGTCTTCTTCCTCCAGATATAACTGTACAAGACCGGTGAGAGCAGGTGAAGAAATGGAGGGAATACATCTACGCGATTGCTAACGATTTCATGTTATTCCATGTCAGCTTTCACCGACGTACCCACACCCAACTAGTCATTTCCTATTAAGCTTACACTCGGGTGGTGGTCTGGTATGACGTCATCCAATGGTCTTCTCAGCTTTTGTCCAGTCCATCTCTATTTGTTTCTACATCCCTATTGAGCAAGAGGTTTTTGACTGCATCGTTGCCAGAATTTCTTGCCGCGAGACCTTTCTGGCCAGCCAGCTTGGGTCCGAGTGTAACATGGATGAATAGTGTGTAAGGGGGAGATGGAAGACTTTGGGCAGTCGTGGGGGCAGTTGAAGACGACTACAGAGAAACTAGTGAAAGGGGGATTTTCTGTCTGAAGTCATATGTTCCACTAGGAATCTGAGGGAATTGTAATAAATAATCGAATCCATATGGTGATTGTCTATTTCTCTGCTAATTGATATTTCGATTATCGTTAGCTAAAGCCTAATTTATTCGCAGGATTTGGTAGGTGTTTAGAGAGTATACGAACTAATGTTACTCTCTTTCCCTCCACCTAATATATAAAAAGGGAATGAGCAAACTGATTATGTGCTTTTTATTAAGCTTTGGTCTTGACTTCTAGTTTTCTGTACTTCCAGATGTTATCTATGTTACCTGTTAAGCTGAATTCATTAACAAGTCGAATTAAGAACTTGTACGAATATGTTGGAAGCTTGTGGTAATGACGGGTTAGACTTCCATTCAGCTAACCATTCGATACTCTCTTGTACTGTTACTAAGGCTTCAATGATGAACGGCATTGCTTCATTTTTTAAAGAAAATATCAACGAGAATCTCTACCTTTTAGATGTTAGAAAAGCAGGACTTCTGGAAGATACTATCTGACATCAAAGATGTGAATGAGGCTAAACGATTTAGTTATTCTTTTATTCCTACAGTGGTATTTAATGAACAGTTAACTGACTATTGGCTATATTTGTACGGTTTGTATGACAAGGTGCAAGTGTATACAAACGTGAATCTCTCTGAGTTGTATTGCTTCATAAAAGCACACAGAAAATACGTTAAATGAAAGGATACTGAATGACAGAGATGTACAAGGAACAGTAATTAAGTGAACCTTTTTGAAACATTTTTACAGTCTGGCTAATGGCATGCAGTGGAATATATCTGCACAATTGCTAACATCTCTTCAGGCACCGATGGCATTTAAGCGACCCTATCCAGAGAGTCTTACTCAAATCAACAATCAACACTTAGTGCGTCAATATCATGTAATCGTTTTGACTATCTCTAATGCTTCAGCACATGAATCGTACATATTCATTATAATAAAGGTTTCCTTGTATTTCTCAATGTTTTTCATTCATATGCTCAGTATCGTTGTTATTCCTGTGTTGAAATCATCTAAAGAATAGTGACTACTACTCAGACTTCTTTCAGATAGTCTTGATGTTAATTTTTACAGATATACTGGGTAACAAGAAATTATTATAATATTATTGTTCCCTTGGGTTCCAAGTGGAAAATATGCATTCAACAGAACATTTCCATTTTTGTTTTCTTCTCCAATGTCCCCTTCATCTAGCTCCACAGCTGGCCATAAACTTTCATCTTCTACCCACAAGATCTTATCCATGTCGCCTTCAGTTCGACACCGAACTCGTCGTCCCCCTCTCAGGTTCCACTCCACTGATAGTGCAGCGTGCATGATTTCACCCAACTGTCTTTTTAGAGTCTGTCCAGTCCATCTCCATTTTCTTCCTAATATCTTTTCAGCAGTAGATTGTTGATTTGTTTATTCCCAGAATTTCTTGATGCTAATTCTTTCTGGCGGCCTGACCATCTGACTTTCATGATTGGTCCAGTGAAAGTGGCAACTGTCGATGAAAGTGTGCATGCATGCGTCACGTTTATGACCCATGTATAAGAACTGAATGACTGAACATTGAGGCTGAAAATCCAAATCTTGTTCTTTGGGCTGTGAAGTGCAGCTGATTCCCACCCCGATCTCAGAGCGATAAAAGGTCTGTTTTGTCTTTCCCACCCTCATTTCGACATCGTAATCCATGCTGTCAGCTGTAGCTAAAACGCTGCTATCCGGTTAGGTAAATGAAGGAAGTGAGCTCTTTCACATCACTTCCATTGACAATGATTGGTGCTGGCTGTTGTCGTTGTTGTTGGTTGGATATCTTCATCGTCCCGTCTTCTCTATGTCTACCTAGGGTCCTGTTTTCGCTGGCTGCTTTTTCTGCCATTTAGTTGGTTTTCTCCTGAGTCTTCCAGTTTGTGTGACACTAGATATAAATCATCCGTGAAATCCAGATCTTCTAGAGCCTTCTTAACCGACTAACGTATTCATGTCTTCTCTATCCCCACGTACGATGTGTCGCATAATCCAGTCAACCACAATCAGAAATATCATTGTGGATGAGAGTTGACAGGCAGCCTTGTGTTACTCCATTCTATCTTCATTTCAAAGGCTCTGGTGAATTCTTCATCGTGGAATATTACCTGATATGTGGCATTGTCATATGCGTGTTAGAAAATAATGACTGCTGCACCTAAGCATCTACCAAATAGTTCTGATATTTATAGAAAGATTCCTGGAAAACAAGTTTGTCGAAATATAATATTCTAAAGATTTTCTTACAACTCTGGATATTACAGTGACCCTTGTTAAAAATACCTCAATGTTTGGCGATTAGACTTTTAGCCTCCTTTGAGATCTTGAAGAGAAATGCATTACTAGACTAAGATATTCTTCTGCAAAACAGTGATGGAGAAAGATCACAATTTTCGAACTATACACAAAACTTTAAAAATGTGAGAATTCACTGATTGCATGGAGGATTTCACCATCAGCTGATATCAGTTAGAGAACCACTGGAAAACCACCTTGGAGTACTGGACAGATGTTTCATCCTAGTTTGGGACTCTTCAGCAGTACGCACCCACCGGGGTTCGAACCCAGGACCTTCTGGTTACAAGGCGAGCCCGTAGACCATTGAGCCACTGGGACCCGATCCAATGATCCTTGAATTCTAACTTCTGCCAATTCACGACATAGCGCGACCACTTCGCAATGTCTTCTTCGATGATTTACTGCCTCATCTTCAACCTGCTATACCCTACTGGTCACAACTTCCACTAGAAACCCAGGTTAACCCGAACCCCGGTGAGTGCATACTGATGAAGAGTCCCAAGCACTAGGTTGAAACAGCTGTCCAGTACTCCCAGGTTTTCCAGTGGTTCTCTAACTGATTTCAGCTCATGGTGAAATCCTCCATGCAATCAAACAAAATGCCTACAAAACCAATACTTGAAAATTCACTGATTGATCACGCAGGCATGACTTCTGTCACAAATCTAGTCCTTGGCGGCAATTTTGACTAAATCACTGTTGCCTACTCAGCAGGGCATATCTATCGCCATAAATGAATCAGCTTCGTTTGCAGTATGCGTCACACAAATGTTGCAGTCAAATAGTATTACCATTGAGCTATGTTTAGTCCAGACTATAGGGAAATGAATTCACAATATGCATATATGAGAATGTCTAATCACATTTAAACTGAAAGAAAATGAAATACCATTTGTGCATAAGACTTACTTTATGCCATAGATGTGTAATCTCTTTATATTGCGCAATAAGTTGACTACGGTAGTCTTTATGACAGTAAACAGGAATTTCATCAAGACGATCATCTGGTATTGTCCTGAGGCCATTCTTGAATTCCGTGTTAGCATTGTGTAAAAGTATCTTTTTCATTATCCTTTGCAATTCAATGAACATTGATTGGTATGTTTGTTGTTGTTCAGTATACAGTTTGAAGCAGAGATTTAATTGAGATTTATACGGAAGATCTCTAGAAGTGGTTGAACACTCCTCAGTTTGCCGAGGCAATGACTCCTCAGTAATATTTAACGAAACCTGTAGTATTGGTTTATTTAGCATATTAGCAATATTATTATTGTTATTATCGTCATTAGTATTGAGATTATGACCATAGTCATATTTTTGACTGATTTGATAAGAGGCTTCCATTAACCAGGACTTTAGGTTGGTATAATTTGTTGTCAAATCACTGGCGATATCCTTGCCATCTACAATTAAAAAATGTACATAGGAAAATGCAAACAAAATATACATAAAATTATATAAATAGAATACCAGACTGCATTTATACATATACGCGGTAACGCAATGGTAACTAAACAGTTAAGTAAATAAGTATAATGCACTGCTGACGGACTCACTGGTGAAAAATGTAACATGGTCAGTTGAATTGAATGAATGAAAACGAGTCGACAGACCGCAGAGGATAACCTCACGACACAAACGCGCAAAGTTTAGAAGGAAGGAAAAGTACCTACTGATTGGAAGAAAAATAACCTTGTCAAACTATCAAAGAAGTGCGACTTTGGTGTTTGCAACAACTGGCGCGGAATCATGCTCTTGTTCCACGCTAAAGAAAAAAACAAGTCATGTCATCCGTAAGAGACTAGAAGATTCACTTGATTCAGAATTACGCTCCCCTCCCTGCCGAATCCCTGAGAACAAGCTGGATTCGCAAAAGGCAAATCATGTGCGGATAGAACTTGTGACTCTACGTATCATCAACATCAATGTCAGCAAGAAGTGCATAGCATGGCGGACAAATCCTTACCTACGTTTCATCGACTTCCGAAAGGCCTTTGAAAGCGTTGACGGAGAAATGATTTGGAAACTGTGTCAACACTACAGAATGTAGTGCTGCAAAACTTCATTCAACAAGTAAATGACAATGTCACATGTTGAGTTATCCACAACGGAGAATGCAGTGAAGTCTTCGAGGTGAATTCAGGATTTTGACATGGCTAAATACTATCACTAATGGAGTGGATTACGCGGAAGACTTTGCTTTGAGAGGAAGAAGACATGAATAAGTTGGAATGACATGAAGTCTCATGAATTTACAAATTCTGAGGACTATTTCTGTATAACGTCATGTCAGGTTGAAAAAGATTTAGGGACATATAAATCCAAACCTGACAACAATCAGTGAAGACTTTGACTTTTGGTTTAAATCATACAGTGTAATGTAAACTGACTGATCGGTATCCTTAAGTCACCTAGAACTGAGAGCTGGAGACGGTTGATGTCATGTCTCAAAACCATTCCCGTCAGTGTAAATGCACTCATTTTTTGTGACCTCCCCACCTGTCGAATTCCTATTATTCTCAATATTGTTACCTTTCATCTTGTACATTTCCGTTCATCATAGCTAACTTTCACTTTCTTTCTTTTCTTCTACGTTTTATGCGGGAATTTCTGCATTGGGAGTGCATTACAGTCCATTTCTTTTCTTTGCTTTCATCATTTTTCACATGTGCACTATACATGTTAGGCATAGATAGACTTATACTGTTGGAATAAATCAGTTCAAAAATCTTTTAATCTCTATTACTAAAATGGTTGAGTATTAAATAACGCACTATGTACTTCAGTGTACTTTATCGGTGAAGGTAGGAATACATCGGAGAACGGAAAGATCCAGTCTTTTTGTTTTGAATCATAACTGAACGCATAGGCTCTTTTTTCTCTGAAGCTCACAAAAACCGAATGAATTTCTGATTAAACTGTCTAGGTAATAAAATCAACAGCTACAAAAATTGCTTTTTATTCCTTTGGGTTCCCAGTAGAACACAAGACTTCAAGCTTTACCTTTAAAGTATCAGTAGCAGTGGTGTTTTTAAAGGGATGGGGTTGCTAGCCCCATGCCCAACCTGCCCTTTTTGTCGGTATTACAACCGGCTAAGTGTGCGCCAGCCGGGACTAGAACCCCATACCACGTGCATGGACAGCCAGCACCCTACTGCTGAACCACCGACGCACCCTGCAAAATTTACTTACATAATTCCTGCTCCTTTCTCTCTGGTTATACTGATCAAAAAGAATGAATGCATCTGCACTACTGACAATGACACGGAATAACGATTTGAATAAGTCACATAACAAGAAAGTTAAAATTCCAAGTCAATAAAAATGTTCATTACATAATAAAACCTGCACTGAATAGATGCTGTCTAGAAGGTAGACAACAAAAGCTTTGAAATGAAATCAATCAAATCCTCAGAGAATACAACTAAATCAAAATCATCCACCTAAGCTGAAAATCTCCTACAATTTTTCATAACCAAACAATCAACCAAGAAATAGAAATCGTCATGAGCTGACATTAATTAGACAAACATTGGATAACTCGAAGTACTGGACAGTTGTTTTTTGGCTGGGTGTGGTGGCGTACGCCTGTAATCTAGCTACTGGAGGCCAGGGTACGGAATTTCGCGGGACCGGGAGTTCTGTGTATGGCTGCTCATGTTAAACAGCTGTCCAGTACTTCCAGGTTTTCCAGTGGTTCTCTAACTAATGTCAGCTCATGATGAAATCCTGTAGCCAATGAAATACCTACAAACCAACACTTGAAAATAGAAATCATGTCTGAATAACTTATTCCTAAGGTTCTCATTGTTTGGTAATGAGTGGAACAGGTGCAGATCTTCGAGGATAAATCAATTATCCCGATGGAAAAATCAAAGAAGCAATAACATTCAACAGTTTACTCACCTGAAGACTTCTACATCTTAAATTGTAAGCTTTCCTTATTCGAATTAAACGATCCATTAGATCAGCTGATTCACTGGTGTTGGCATCGTTTGAAATCATTTCTTGATATAACTTTTCATGCTGGCATAACTGTTCACCCAATATCTATAAACAATTTTGTAATAACAACAGCAGAAATCAAAGGTTATTAAACTTGAAAATTCTTACGTAACTCAGGGTGAATATATTATTGTGAAAGTGAAGCTATGCCTCACTTTTAAAGCTTTTTGACTAATAAATGCCTAGTGTCATTGATTTTTACCCATATCATCCTAGAAGGAAGTATGACTACTAATCATGAAGAAATATGATTAGGGTTTGGACAATGACAGTAGACTAGAGCATTGACATTTGTTTGACTGCTGAAGTAACATCGAAATTAAAAAATGAATCAAAGATTCCATTTCTGAACGTGAAATTGACGAGAAGACATGATGGGAATCTGAAAACATATACCCACAGAAAACAACTGACAAGTTTCCACGGTTGGATACCTGCCAGTGGAAAAAGCGCTTTCATCATCTCACTGACCCCCCGCATCAGAAAACCTTGCCGTATTGACTGCTTCTAGAAGAAGAGTATTTATTTCTCAAAAGTATCCTGAGTTAAAGTGGATGCCCGGCAAGTTTCGTGGAATAGAACATGCAACCAAAGTCAAAACGAGAAGAATGCATATCACTACCAAAGTGGACATAACATTCGAATATGAAATTCAGGGGAAACCTAGCTGCAGGTATGCTTAAGAGGAGAATCTGTAGTTCCCTAAAGAAAATCTTTCCTGAAGCAACTCTAAGAGTGATATTGTTCAGTCGCTCACTGCTTCTAAGCAATGTGAAGAACAAACCTCCGCATTTCACTGCCCCAATGTGCATATATCAGTTCACCTGCTCGTATGGAAGTCGTTCTCTGCATGTATTGTCAAAATATCTTAGAGAACACAAGCCAGAATGGCTGTAAAGAGGAGGCACTGATGCAATCAGAAGCGCCATAATTGGACACCTCATCAACATCTATCTTAGCATCTCAACTGACTCATCCATTATTCACAGTCATTCACAGTCAGTAAACGGAAATCTACCAGAAGAAGTGTGTTTCTGTCTTCTTTGTACAACAGAAGCCCTTCACCATATCCATCGAAATACTGAACCTACGTGTTCAGAAGGAAACTATTCCAACCTCTACATTTACCATGGATCTAGTTCAATTTGATTCCTTAGTTTTCAGTTTTATTTTCCCATTTTCACTTATAGAAAGCCACTATTTCAGTTTGTACCTATGCTCATCCCATTCACGCCTATATTCGTTAAAAACCATTTTCTAATCCTGTATAATTTGGTTTCTAAGCCTCTTGTGATCAATATTCACATTCTTGAACTTTCAAACCAAGTTAACAATTATTATCGCACGTTCAACCTCCTGCTCTTACTCTGTTATTATGTGGAATTAGATGGCAATGATTGCATCTAAGTAAACTTATGCACATAAATGTGATTGTACAGATGCGCTTTTGAGAACGGAATTGCGGAAAAGCAGATATCAGTTCGCTAAACATCTTGTTCTTTTCTCTCTAATACTGAAGTAAATGCAACAGTATGTACCAGTTAAAGTCAGAGATGAGACAAAATTCACTGATGTGTGGTATTTTGTCTTTTTGTAAAACTCACTTCATTAGAGGAAATTGTTTGCATGCGACTCACACAGCTATTGTGTTAAGACTCAAAACTACGGTAGGTAGAGAGGGATTCGAGCGGAAGAGCTACTGGTTTTAAAGTGGATCATTTAAATCAGTGAACAACGTATCAACCGAATTATTTATCTGATATGTGTTCAGCTTTACATATTCATCATACAATGCAACCGCCATCATCATAATTGGAAAAGCAGAGAAAACCTGTAGCTTGTCGAATCCATCCAGACCACCAATACGTCGTCACCAATTTGATACTCACTAACTGCTGCTGAAATTCTAGTGAGACGTCGCAACCAGTAGGGTGAACCAAGTGAAGCAACAAAATAGTTACTTGTATAACCAGAAGGTCCTGCGTTAGAGCCCCGTAATAGGTACGTACTGCTGAACAGTCCTAAACTAGGAAAAGAGTAGCTAAGATGGATATCAGGTTTGAGTAAAGTTATGCTGATCGCCATTGAGATGAGTGTAAGCGCTCGACACTAAACCAGCTCGAATCCCCTGGCTAACAGATTTGTATCATCACTCTTCAAAACGACAACTGTGTGGTTTCATAGCCTATAAAATGAAATATCACTTTCCAAGGATTAACTTCAGACAACATGATATCTCGAGATCAGAGAGTGACTTAGATTTCCAGACAAACACACAACTCACCGAATGACTTGAATCCACAGATTGAACGAAAGCTATATCACCGGCGACCGAAACAATGCTCACATACTGTTGATGACTGAAACTTGAATATAACGATTTCAACGATTGTTTGTTGCATTCCTCATTCCATGACTCAGTGCTATTGGAAAATGGCTGTTCAATATTACTATTAGCATTGTCATCTGTTATACTTGTGTCAGCATTTCCCGATGAATGTTCGATAGATTTTAGTCCACTGTGAATACTCTCAATACCAAACTGTTTTTCTACAGAATGTAGCCATTCTTTTAGACATGAAATTGTCGACTTCTTATTTCGAGCAGTTAACGATAATTTCTCCATTTCGATTTGACTGTAAAAAATAAAGGATAAGTTTATTAGATGAAAAAACAGAACAACGAAGCTATTGAGAATGCATAAAATGCCAAAGGTAAACAAATCTGGCTGATTACAAGGCAAACAATGGTAACACGTGTATGAAATATAATTTCACTAACTGAGTGATGTATTAAATAATACCTATATCATGCCACTTTCATTAATAATAAGTATAGTATAAGTATAAGTATAGTAATAGGATATCATCATGAGCTGACATTAGTTAGAGAAGTTAGAATTCATGGGCCACTGGATCGAGTCCCAGCGGCTTTATAGAATACGAGCTCGCCTTGTACCCAGAAGGTCCTGGGTTCGAACCCCGGTAGTTGCATGCTGATGAAGAGTCCAAAACTAGGACGAAACAGCTACCCAATACTCCCAGGTTTTCCAATGGTTCTCTAACTAATGTCAGCTCATGATGAAATCCTGTTAACCAATCAAATCCCTACAAACCAACACTTGAAGTATAGTAATAATTTGCTACTACTGTGGTGAGAGCAGGCCGTGAGAAAATATGAGCAAGGCTGATTCAACAACCAATCACAGCAAAGTTAACGTGGCAAAATATGATTCGCAGATAGAGAACTCTATTTGTCGAGGAATCCCGAAACAACCAATCAGAAGCCTGCGTTTGTCTGCCTAACTTCTGATAAACAACCAATCAGATGACTACGCTTGTCTACTTGTATAAGCTATAATAATGTATGTGAAATATGTATAAATACGTGTTGATTTTCATAATAAAACGATCTGTTGCCTGGCCCTTGTCTTCTGTTGTTACACTACTACAGTTCAGATGAAGGTAAGCTATGAATTCAATAATAATAATAATAATAATAATAATTGCTTTATTCCAAAAACAGTACTCATGATACAGCAAGGAATTTTCAGCATTCAGTACAATATTGCATCTAATTTACCCAAAAACGACAAAAAAAAATTAAAAATACACAATACATAATAGTAATAAAACGATTGTTGTAGCAGCTACGTAGCAAATACTGTGTGCCATACGGAGAAAAATATGTATAAAGTACAAAATTGTAGTAATAATAGTAATACCAACTAATATAAAATAGCAGAGTAACGATTTAAACGATAGAAAGTGTAACACCATAAAATACAGAAAGATGAACGATAAAAGGGTCGATTCACTGTGCTAATTACATAGTAACTTGTAAGTTATCCTATTGGGACATCATGAGTCTAGGCTTTCGTTTCATTGTGACCTGCTAACTGTGCGTCGGTGGTACAGCGGTTAGGATACTCGCCGGCCATGCACATGGTCCAGGGTTCGATCCCCGGTCGACACACTCCTTTACGTCGCTAAGCCAGAAATGATGCTGGTAAAGAGGAAAGGTTGGACATGAGGCTAGCAACCCCATTCTGTAAAAAAATTACCACTGCTACAGAAACTTCAAGCCTCTAGCTTGAAGCCTTATGTTCGATTGGGAACGTGTAGGGAAAGAAAATAATTTGGTTTATTCTAAAACAGTACTTATGATACAATGTGGAATTCTTAGCATTCGGTACCATATTACTGTATGTAATTTACTCAACAGCAGTGAAACCAAAAATAAAAAAATAATATTACAGGATTGATATTGGCGGTTTGTTTTGGTATTCGCGATGACAATAAAGTCAAAAATGTACAAAAGTGTGCAAATCATAAAGTCAATAATAGCTAGGTTACCATAGATTACAAATAGGACAGAACAAAAGAGTCAATTAATTTTGCTCATAACATAGTAAGTCAGAGGTTTCCAGCTTAGCATTATCTATATCACACAGAATGCCGGTGGGACAAATAGGGTATAGTTGACTTTCTGTACTTGGTTGTGCTAGTGAGCATATAATGTTTTATAATGACTTATATTCTTATCCGATGTGATGCAAAGCGGGGAGAGGTGTGCATAGAGAGTGGGTGTTGAGAGTAAAACAGTATGGATTTAGACTATTTCTAGCATGAGTTTATATGTCTATCGACTACAATAATGATGAGCTGACTTAATAGTAGACCACTAGTCCCACTGGCAGCCCTTAACAGTCTTCTCTTTAGTATGAAGGAGTCCTTTTTAAGTAGATCAGAAACTACTAATAGGTAGCAGTTAAGGGTAATAGGCGAAATTCAAGAATTAACAAATGGTAAAAGACCAATTCGAATGATGCCTTCCTGATTGTCTTAACTTCTTAATGTAAAATCATATGGAGTTATAAGAATACAGATTCTCCCTGAATCACCATTGACAGCATTTAGCAAAAAATATCAATACTAGCGAAGATTTGAAGATCAATTGAATACTTCCCATGTTTTTCTTTTTGTTAATTCCTTTACTTTCCCAGTGGAACATTGGGCTTCAAGCTAGAGGCTTGAAGTTTCTGTAGCAGTGGTGATTATCTTTACGGGATGGGATCGCTAGCCTCATATCCAACCTACTCTCTGACTTACTAGTTAGTTAAGCTACTGTGCTTATCATACATATAAAT